CTCAACCTACAAGAAAAAAAAGAACAGGCTTTCGGGGTGGGGAGTGTGGGGGGAGCCACAGGCAATTCCCCGGTAGCCAACCAGCCTGGATACCAACAGAGGAATGATCTAAGCATACTGGGCTCCCACAGCTGAGGACAATGGTACAGAAGCATGAACCCCTTTGAGTAAGAATGGAAGTAACTTTCCCCTTACATCACTTTGATCAACATTTTTAAATGCCGGGTAGTTTTGCTTACAGAATTGCAACTGGTAATAAAGAAGCTCTAACTGTGTGGCTGACGATAACTCTGCTGGCCGCTGTAGCTGAAGACCATCACTGGGTTCCAATGTGTTCTGGGTTCTGAGTTCTGTGGTACGTGCTCTCACACTTACACACAGACACATACATAAATATAGATAAAAATAAAAAGAAGTGCAATGCTTGTGTGCGTCTTTGATGAAGAAGTTCCATTTATTAAAAATATTTTAAGCATGGGGATTGAGAGAAGGAAACAAGCTTTCAGAAAGACACACCCAAGGTTATGGGTGTGGGTCTCTCTAAAAGGGTGGCCTAGTTTATTTTGCATCTCTGTTCAAATATCCAAATGGTTGGCAACAGGGCTCAGGGTTTAGCTCAGTAGTAAAACTGCTTGCCTGGCAAGTGCAAGGCCCTGGGTTCAATCCCCAACACTGCTGAAACAAAGCAAACTCGTGTGTGTTTGTGTACAAATGTCTTTTCTATCAGAAAAATTAGTAACAGTTGTGTGGGGGTGGGGTACGCATCTATCACCTCACATTAAGGAGGCTGAGGCAGGTGTACCTCAAGGCTGAGGCCAGCCTGGGCACTATGAAAACCAACCAGGCGCTGGAGAGATGTCTCCGAAGTTTCCAGCACTTGTTGCTCTGAAAGATAATCTGGGTCTCATTCCCAACGACACAAGGTGGCTCATAGCCACCTGTAACTCCAGTTTCAACGTGTCTAATTCCCCCTTCTAACCGCCTCAGGGACCAGAAATGCAAGTGTTACACATACATATATACATACAGACAGACAGACAGACAAAACAATCAAACACTCAAACACACACACACACACACACACACACACACACACTAACCAAAACCCAGCAAGTGAAACAACGCAGGAAGTTTAGCTGTTGAAGAGGACACAGAAGCGGAGTGTCACCATGTTCTTGGAATTCCTTACCCAGGTGAACACTACTTCTTTCCAGGCTTGAGGGGTGGGGCACAAACAGGGCTTCTTCCTGGACAGATGGTAAAGTGAGTGAAGAACTCCTATTTAAGGACAATGCAAACTTGAAGGGGGGGGGGCAATTAGCCCACCCACAAACGAGGCTTTTAACCCCGCTGGAAACAAAGGCACCTTTTCTGAAGATCCACATCTGCACTCCCCGGGGCATCTAGACCTTTCCCAGAGCCCCAGGGAAGAGAAGTGGCAAGAGGAATTTCCCAAGAGGAAATTAAACTCCTCTCAAGTGAGTTTAATTGGGAGTGAACTCCTCTTCCTCCTGCATGCAGGATGGCCTTGAACTCCTGATCCTCATGCTTCTACCTCCAGAGGACTGGATGTCATCAGGGATGACAAGTGTTACCACATTTCCTAGGAAGCTCTTCAACAGCCATTTTGATGTAAGTGATTGCAAAAGTCAGAAAAGGGCCTTTGGGAGGGAGGGCCAGCAGTTAAGGGAGGGGTTGGGGGAGGGAGGCTTGTTGCTAAACTTGAGTTAGATCCCTCGAACCCATGTGGTAGGAGACAGCCAGGTTCTTTTCCCTTTCAAAAAAGATTTTATTTTCAGTTACGCATATGTGTGGACATGCGCGTCCCAGCGCAGGTGTCTTCAGGGACAGTAGATTTCCTGACAACTGCCTGATGGGTACGCTGGGAATTGAACCCGGCTCCTCCTGGGAAACCACTGCTTGCAACCTATTATCTGGTCTCTACTGGAGCACTGTGGTGGTCCCCACATAAATGTGCACACACATAAATAAACAAATAAATAATTGTAATTTTAATAAATGTGAGAGAAAAAGGGCTTTCAGAGACGCTAGCTGCTGAGCGCCATGTTCACACGAACAAATCTATATTAAGAGTCCGTATCACAAATAAGCAAAAGGTGATCACTAACAGCAGTGTCCGCAGATTGTCTTGGTCTCCAAGACCAATGCTCCATTCAGTTTTCTCATCTGAAGTTCGTCCTGAAGAAAGCCGGCTCTGGTTTAGAGTTCCTATATATGTGTTCTAATCCTCTCCCATAAGGAGACAGTGACAACGTCTGTGATACCCCTCTGCTCCTTCTGTCCCTTCATGCGGCAGTTGCCATTCAGAGGGTACCAACTTAGCCTTCCAATACGCTTCCTGGCCTGAGGCCAGGGAAAACAACAACCTAAGACTGGATGCCTTGGACCCAACTGAGGTGATAGTCAGCTCCTCCAGCCTCCCGTTGTGAACATACCTTTGAAACTGGCGTGGGAAATACGCGTGGCTCTCAGTCCTTGCCGCTCATTGGGAAGCTGACACTCAGCTATGACTAAGAGTAAATGCAACATATTTCAAGTAGCTTATCACTGATGAAGTAATAACTGTCGCTGCTGGAACCAAGCCCCAGGGAGCATCTCAGTCCCCAAACACCCAGCACTCTGGGGTCAGCGGGGTCTCAGGAGCGCGTCCCAACTGGGGAAATACATAAACAAGGCTTTAGGGAGGGAGGCAAGCCATCAGCACAGTTGGCGGTACTGGTTGAGCTTGCTGGCCTTAGGTCACAGAGAGGAAGAGACACCACCCCGGTGTGGGGGTGATTGGCTAGACGGGGCTGGTCCCAGAGGCCCTGACGTTTAGCCCCAGAGAGGAAACCCGGAGCCTGGCCAAGGAAAGAACACAGCCACTTTCTGCTCAACCGTCTCAGGGCAGTGGCTCTACAATTTAGATGCTATTCCAAAAAAAGCACTGGCCCGGAGGTGCGAAGGCCAGAGCACATCTGCGAAGGAAACAGTCACCTTAATTACCATGTCTAGAGAAAGTGCGATTTCATTACAGCCTCCAAAACTACCGCCCCAAGAAGGAAACCAGAGAAGTGTTTTCAATTTAAAAAAAAAAAAAACCTGGAAAGGGCGGGAGGCGCGGACAGACTCCCCCACCCTATCTCCAACTCTGGACCCTTCGGACGCTTTGCTGACCCCCCAATCCCCATGAGTATTGTTAAAAAGTGGACATTCCATGCCTGGCCCTGTCGTCATTGTTCAAACAGCAAAACCCACTCCATTTTAGGCTTCTGAGAGCTGCAACTCCAGGAAAGCCCCTGAAAACACAAGGTGTCTCCGGCTGCCACAGCCCCAGGCGCCCCACCCTGCTCCCCGCATCCCGCTCCCCACACAGAGGACGGACCCGCGAGGGGGATCTGGGCGCGTGGCGATAGGTGGGTCCACAGCGTCCACCCACACGGGACGGACATTCCAGCTACGATTAAAGGGAGAGGCGAACCTTTGGTTCCAGTCCACGTCAGGGCTAATTCTGGGCCAGACCAGGAGCCACCTCTGGTAAGAAAGCCGCTCCAAAGTGGGTCCAGAGGGCTGTGGCCCGCATCTCCCAAGATGATTCTTTGACACAACACCCCCTCACCCCCCCCCCAACCATCGCCGGCCACCAGCACGCGAGACCATCGCGGAGGAATCCAAGCTCACTGGCGACCCACAACTTTCTTCCAATCCCAGAGCCTCCTTTCCACGTCTCAAGAAATGTGAAGGGGTTGTGGTGGCGGTGGCGGCGGCGGCGAAGACCAGGCGAAGAATCTCAGTTTTAATTTAGGAGGGGGAGGGGAGGAAGAGGGATGTTTAATAACGTGGCTGCGGTGTACCCGGGTAGGGTGAAACGGAACCAGATGCGGCAGCTACATCTGGGAGATGGGGGGTGGGGTGGGGGAGAAAAACGCCGTCCGAAATGCTTTGCAAATGAGTTAATAGCTCCTAGGCCCAGAAGAAGAGAACTAACTCCCTCCCGTACTCCCAAGGTGTCCAGCTGCCTCACAGAGGGTCAATATCTATTACAAACCCCATCTATTAAAAAAAAAAAAAAGTCAGTGAATTCCTCCAAAATTACGGGTACTGGGCTGTCTTACTCCGCCGAAGACACCTCCGGGGGAGGCGCGGGAAGCGCGGGGAGGGGGTCTGGGCCGGAGAAGCAACAAGCGGGCAGAGGGGGGGCTCGGCACCCGCACCGGACAAGCCCTCACCCCTTCCCCCACCGCCCAGAACGATCCCGACCCCGAGGGCCCTCCAGGTCTGAGACTAAACGGAACACCCCCCCCCCCCCCCCCAGCAGCCCTCAGGAAGGGGGGAGATCTCCGCTCGCTCCCCGGTAAAGCCGATTCAGCCATTTGGTGACGACACCTCCTTCAAGCCTCTTCCAAGACCAGCTCGCCTTCCCCGCCACTTCCTCTCCTCCGCGAGCCCCCCATCCCGGACCCCAGACTTGCCCGGAGGTGGAAAAACGCTTGAAAAGATCCCAGATGCAGGGCGTTGCGCCCAGAGCCACCGGCTGGACCGGGGTAAATCAAAAGAGGAGCCAAAGAGATGGAGTGCGCACTCACTCACTCACTCACTCACTCACTCACTCACTCACTCACTCACATACACACTCACGCCCTCCGCCTCGCAGCCCACCCCCGCCCTCCTCCCCAGTCCGGGAAACCCCCGGCCTCCGCCGCCTTCTCCACGGCGGCGAGGAAGGGTCGGGGTCTGGAGTCGGGGCGCAGCCGCCGCCGCCTCGCCAGCTCCGGAGCGCGAGTTGGCGGAAAAGTTGGGCAGCGGCGGCGGCGGCGGGGCCCCGCGCGAGGAGGGGGCGCGGGCGGCGACGCCGGCCGAGGGAGGAGGGACGGGGGCGCCGGGGAGGGAGCGCAGGCGGGGGGGAGGGGGTCGGAGGAGGGAGGGAGGCGCGGGCCGCGGCGGGCGAAGCGCGGGGGCCGCCCGGGCCGGCCGGTCCCGCGGGCGCCGGCGACTCTTACCTCCCTCGGCGCTGCGGTCCCGCCTCTGGAGAGCTCGCGGTGGCGCGGCGGGTGTCCGTGTCCCGCGCCCCGGCCGCTCGTCCCCGGGCTCCGTTCAGGTCCCGGCGGGGTCGCGAGGGCTCCGGGGCCGAGCCAAGACTCCCGGCGGCGCTCGGAGCCGGGCGCCTCCAGCCCGGGCGGGAACAATGGAGCCGGAGCTGGTGCCCCGGAGGCGGGGCGGGCGGGAGGGCTCGGGTCCGCCGCCGGGGGTCCCCAGGTCCTGCGCCCCCAGCTCTCCAGGACGCGGCGGCGGCGGCGGCGGCGGCTGTGCCTCACGCTTCTGGCAGCCCGGCTTCCATCGCCTCTCCCGGGGCCCCGGCGTGCACTGACTGCAGCACTGCTGTGGTGCGCCCCTGGGACCGGAGAAAAGTCCTCGGTCTCCGCGGCTCCTTCCAGCTGCGGCGCGCGCTCGCGGCCGGGAGAGGCGAGGTCGCCGCAATGCGCTAAGCACGGTCTCCGTCCAGTCCCGACGCTGCGGCCCAGCTCCCTGCGCAGCCCGAGTCCTCGGCACGCAGAGGCTGCCCCGGCGCTCCGGCTCCCCGTTCGGCGCCACCCGCGGCCGAGCGCCCCGCAACGGAACCCGCAGGAGCGCTCCGAGCGCTGTGCGCCGGCGAGGCGCGAGGGCTCGCTCTCTCACTCCCACCCGGCGCTAGTCCCTCCTCCTCCTCCTCCCCCTGCAGTTGCCTGCTGGGCCTTGTAGTTCCCGAGCCGCAGCCCGGGAGAAGCCCGGAGCGAGCAGAACTGCTTTAACAGCCTGATCTGGTTTGAGCATCGCCTGGAGGGCGCCCGAATTTCAGGCCGTGGAGAGATCAGCAATTTGGAAACGGGAGCAGAGCATGGGGAGGGGCGGAAGCCTGGCTATAGCTTTGAGGCTGTACTTGGCAACTCGGTGTTTGGTTATCTGTGTGCCTTGGGGTATGATTTTCCCGCCCTAAATTTCACTTTTCCCGTCAGTAGAAGGGAGATAACAACACGCACGCGGAGAAATAGGAAGGCCCCTCACATATTGATGGATGGGTCAGCCTTCCCCTTTTAGACCCCTTTCTTGGATCTCAACTTTCCCCAGCCACATAATTTAGGTTTTGTGGTTCACTCTGGAATGGACCCTGAAAATTCTATAGTGCCTCAGAAATCACCAGCTTTCAGTGAATGTTCAGGAAGCAAGCAAGGAGTGAGTGGTGAAAGGAGAGGAGGGTTTTGTTTTTGTCTTTGTTTTTGTTTTTTGGGCTTAGGAATTAATCAGAGTCAACCCAGAACCCCCACAGTATGGTATGAAACTTAAGGAAAATGGCTGGAATGCCCTTCCTACCAGATACATCCACAGAGTATTTAATCTGTGCTTTGTTTAATCCGGTGGACATGAATCGTGTCGGGAAGGTTGAAAAATGCAAGTTCTTGGTCCTACTTGGACATCAGGAATCACGACATCCCAATGAAGCATGCTACAGACTGTGAGACATTTGGTAGGGTTGTTGCCTAGCCTGCAGGAGCTCAACGTCCAGCACTGAATAAGTCAAAAGTGACGACATACGCTTGCACTCCTAGCACCGGGGAGGTGGATCAGAGGCTCACAATCGTTGGCTACATTCGGAGTGAGAAGGCAGAGCCTGGATTCCAGCACACCTGAAACCCTACATTAGTTGGTGGATGTCTGTAGATTTGCCACATAGCAATAGGGATGGGAGGAGAAGCTCTGCAAATTTTCCTGAGGGTTCGTGGTGAGTGGTGTGACGTATAGCCGGGACCACTGGAAGGGAGAGAAGCATGCCACACCAGGTGTGAAGGATGCTTTCACCTTCTCCACCATTCAGAGACTTTGGGCATGCCGTGCCTCTGGTGAAAACCAAGTCTCCAGGTGGCTCCCCCATGAGCATCAGACTGAGTCATGAAGGTAAGCACACCAAAAGGGTTATTCGTGTGAAAGCCACTGTGAGCGGACGGTTCAACACAGCAAGCTGTGAGAGCTCCAACTATCTGACTACTCCCTTCCCACTGAAGAGGAGTGTCTAAGACAGTTTTCTTTGTGACCACCAGGTGACAAAGCAGTAAGCTCCAAGATATGGTCACATTTGTTTATCTCCAGTGAAGAGTGGGGAGAAGAGCTATTGATGAGTTTATTGCTTTATTGACTTTCAGGGTCATTTTTTTGTGTGCGGGGGAAGGCTTTGTTTTTAGAGATAGTCTTATGCTGTAGCCCAGGGTAGCCTATAAATCACCATATAGCTTCAAACTCAAGGCAATCTTCCAACCTTTGCCTCTTGAGGACCGAGGCAACGGCTTATACACCACCACCATGCCTAACAAAGCCAGATGTTTAGCTCTTAGTGGTAGTTCTTGTGCTTAGCATACACAGATGATCTGGGTTCAAATTTGGGGTGTGGGGTACACAGAGAATATATTTATCGAGTGACTAAGAAGTAAATATCCGGTAAGTACTTTCTGAACAAATGAATGATTTTTAAAAACTAAATTAAAAAAAAAAAACAGAAATGACTCTGGAATAAATGAACGCCTGCCAATATTTAAGCATATCCTATAAGCCCATCCCTGCACTCTCTAACCCTCTGCTTCTAGTCAGGCCCAATTACTCTCTCACAGAAGCTACCGGACAGCCTTCCCTGCTACCCTCAGCCACCTGGAGACTCTGCTGCCTCCTGCTGTATCTACTGATTTGATATCTAACATCATTTTGCTGGTTGTCTCTTCTACTTTGTGTTTCCTCTCCAGCAAGCTTTCCAGCAGGGCATCTCAGCTCTCTCAAGAAGGTTTTCTTGAGATCTATACACCTGTTGTTTGGGGACTGGATGCGTAAGAGAGACCAGGGGAAGATACCTCCCACTTGAGGTAAGGATGGACCGCTGAGGGCTGAGCACATTTGCTCGGTGTTTCCTAAGGGCAAGGTATTGCAGTTCATCTCAGCAGTTCTTCTGGCAAAGATCTTTATTTATTTAGAGACAAGATCTCACCACGCAGCCAGGCTACCTTCTGCATCAGCCTCTGGCCCGTCCAGACCCTTCTGAACAAGAGGGTTTTTGCTGTTTGTTGTTGTGGCTGCTTGCTTTGCTTTGGTTCGGCTCTTCAAGACAGGGTTTCTCTGTGTAACAGCCCTGGCTGGCCTGGAACTCTCTTTGTAGACCAGGCGGGCTGGAACTGCCTCAGAGTGCTGGGATTAAAGGCGTGTGCCTCCGTGCCTGTTTTGAACAAGAGGTTTTCAATAAAGCACTGGGCTAAGGATGTGGCTCAGTGATATGCATGCCTAGGGAGAATTCATTCTCTCTCTCTCTGAGTGTGTGTATGTTGTGCATAATTAAATTTATTAAACAAATATATTATAATAATTTTTATAAACTAGTCCTTTCTTTTTTTATTTTTCCTGAAGAGCACGTAGAAGGTAAAAGTTGAAAAAATATCCACACTGACAACTGGGTGATGAGGCAAAGTGATTCCTTTACGCGTTTAGGGGAGTGGGAATAACGATGAGTAGCCAACTTGCTGGCTGTCCGACCACCCACCTGCTCCCCTGGAAACAGCTAGGGAGGCTGGACTGAAGAAGGTGACAGACCCAGAGGAGGCAGTGGTGTCCCCAGATCCAGCCAGGGCGCCTGCTTTTTCCCTGCAGCGCCGCTCTCCCGCGGCTCTCCGGCTCGGCTGCTGCAGAGCCACGGCCCATCTAGCCCAGCGCTCCCGGGGCAGCTCTGGGGCGCCGCAGGCCACAGGGTGGGGCGACCGCGGCAGGCCCGGGGCCTGCTCGGAGGGCGAGGGCGCCTGGCAGTTGTCTCTTTACCGGGAAATGTAATCTTCCCTCTGAGATAACAAAGAGCTGGGAGGGTCAGGAAGGGTTCGTAGGCCCCTCGCCTTGTCGCTGGGTCGGCAGAGGGGGAGACAAAAGCCCTTGCGCTCTAGGACCAGAGATAACCAAGGGGGCCTGCTGCCTCTGGGATCTGTGGGAGGAGGGGAGTGGTGCTGAATGCAAGTGGGGGAAACGGAGCTCTCCCAAAAGTGCCGGCTGCCTTCTTTGTTTTGGAACAAGCCTGCAGATCCCTTCCCCTCTGCCTCGGCGGTTCGAGCAGGAAGGCAGGAATTCTGTAGCCAGGCTGTCTCTGTAAACTTAGGAAGCAACCGTGCCCACCCACCAGGGCGGAGCACCCACTCCTGCTCCCGGGTAGGAAGAGATGAAGCAGCGGACCTAGCCTCCCCCTACCCTACGCCCACCCCCAGGGTGGGAACTGGTCAGGCTGGCTGGGGGAACCTTCGAAGGAGGGTGATGCAAGAGCAGGGAACTGCCCGGGCTTTCCATAAAAAGAGGCTAGTCCACAGGCCCTGGGTAGCAGGTGGGACGCTTGTGCCTTTTGCCTCAGGCTCCTGGAGTTAGGGACAGCAGCCAGTTACCATCTGGCCGCCATTTGGTGACCCCTGGCTGTTCCTAGCATTAGTGTGTGTGTGTATGTGTGTGTGTGTGTGTGTGTGTGTGTGTGTGTTGGGGAACAGGGTGAGAGGTTCGTAACTTTCAGTTCGTTCTGTATGCTGGGAGTGGGAAAGGGAGCTGCCGCATTCATTCTTCTAGGCTTGTGTCTGCCTCAGGAGGGAAACCTGTGTGTCAAACTCTGCTGGGCATAGCCTCCAAAAGAACAGATTAGGAATGGGGAGGGCTCGGGAAGAGACGCCTCAAACCTTCAGAGATCATAGACCAAGTGAGCACCACCCAGACTTACCTGGAGTGGTTGAGGAGAGCAGGTTCAGGAGAGTCATGAAAGCATGATGGGTTAGGTTGACACTGGGTCACTTTTGAGTGTGGGTCTCAAACCTCCTTCCTGCCAGTGGGTTCCTTGCCGATTTCCTTCCGTCAGATTAACCCCTATCACAATGGTACCTTGAAGATCTCAGGAGTAATTTCTTAGGACTGTTGAAAGGACTAAATGAGCGGCTACAACAAAGTAGCTGGCATGGCGTGGAGCGCACTGTAGGCGTTACATAAACATGGCCATTGTTAATGTTAGCCCAGGAACTTTCTTTAGGCCCAAGCCATTTCTTCTGGAGACTACTTTCTAGGTTCTGTATGGCTTCACTCTCCACCCTCTACCCTCCAGCCCTGCTTGAAATTCCTTTCTCCAACACCAGCTGAGAAAAAGATATTTTCCACACTTATCACCCCTTCCTTTTGGCACCCCAAGATAAGCAGCCCCTTTTGTTATAGTTTTTTTTTTTTTCTTTCTGTGAAACAAGAAAACAAAAACAAGTATGGAAAAGCTAAAGACGTTTATAAAAACCTTGGCATATCTATACAACCTGGGTCTCTGGGCTAGTTTTCCAACTCCCTTCAAAATGCTAGCTGAAGGCAAGTTGGCCTTTTGTCCTCTTGTTTTTCTTTAGGACTCTCCAAAGTTTCCCTTCCTCCAACTTACAAACCTTTCCCAGTGAAAGCCAACAATTCATCCAAGGCCAGGAGACCAGAGAGGTGACAGAGCAAACAATTTGCATTTCTGAGAAGCCTGAAGGTTTGTGAGGGGCCCCAGTTCTAAGGCTTCTGCTATGCCTGGGGACAAAGATCAAAGATTCAGGCTTAGACTGAGACACTTGGGGATTGAACTTTGAAGTGGATTCCATCCAAGTTGCAAACCATTT